CTCTTCATTTTCTTATTATCTTTCTTAATATTGTTCTTTCCTAATGTTTTGACACTTTTTAATTTCATGTTTTTTTTCACGTCTTTTTCCCTTTTCTTTGCTTGAGCTTGTTCTAATCGTTCTTTTAGGGGTGTGCTAGTCAATATTTCAGAGTGTTGTTTCGAACGAGACACTGTTTTTACTCTTCCTTTTTCTTTTCTCCTTGGAATAGGTGCAAATTGGAAGAATGAATTATTTAATGTAGATGTCGATGGTAGATGGTTGTGTCCAGACTTAGATGTAGATGGTAGATGATCTTGTTCAGCGGTAGATGTACATGGTAGATGACCTTGAATAGGTAGATCCTGCTGCTGTTGTTTTGGCATATGAGCTGTCTGTCTATCTTCACCGTCTGAATTTTCACTAGGTTCGGGTGTTGCCGGATTAGGAATTTTTTGTAGATTTGGCTGAGATGCAAGTGTTAATAAATTAGCGCTACGTTCGGGAGAACCTTCTACTACAAACTGTCTCATTTCGTTGGCCGGAGCGAAATCATCTTCGTTGAATTTGTTAGGGTCAAATGGCCTTATTCCAGCAGAACGAAATCCCGAAACTGCTTTCTCCATCGATGCGACTTTTACGAACGCTTTATTTAACAGCTCAGCTACGTCATATTCAGTGATCTTTTCATGGCCTGTTGTAGTTAAATAAATATCATACTCCCTGTATAGCGCATTTTTTAAAGGACCAAAGAAGGATAGGTCAAGGGGTTGAAGGTGATGGGAAGTATGTGGCGGAAGGGACACCATATGAATATGATTTGACTTACAGAAATCGTATGCCTCTATGGATATATGGCTTGAATGGTTGTCAAGGATAAGGAGAATCGGGTCATTTAAAGTGGGATTTGCCTGTTTTTCGAAGTGCATTAACCAATCAAGAAAAAGTTCAGAATTCATCCATCCATTTTTTGAACATTTATAGTTAGCACCAGTTGGCCCATTTTTCTGCAGCGCAGGAGCCATTCTCTTTCTGGGATATATCAGCATGGGCGCGATATAATTTCCTGTGGCACTCATGCAAAATACGGCTGTAATGGTCCTCCCTCTTTCACCTGAAATAGCAGCTCCTACTTTTTTTACACCCTTACGTCCATAAACCTTCGGGCACTTCTTCTGTACAGTGGTTACACCCGTCTCGTCCATATTATATATCCTGTTTGCTTCAAATTTAAATTTTTGTAAAACTTTCTCGAGATTTGAATAAAAAAGTTTTAACTCGTCCGCATTAAATGCAGCAATTCGATTAAGACTAGTCCCCTCAGGCTGTCTCAATGATATTTCAGGATTTCGCTTGAGAAACCCATACAACCAATCTTTGCCTGCTAACTGAGTTTGTTTATTGAAATTATTTGGAATATTTTTCTGTTGAGCATAATTAAACGCTAACTGCCTCAGTTGTCGGGGCGTTACGCCGTAAAACAATTTTGCGAGTGTCAGAATATAGTGGGTTAATTCAGCTTCCACTTCTGCTGTAAAAATCGCCTTTCTACCGAGATGGGGGATTTTTAGTTGATTTAGAGAAAGCTTTTTTCTGAGTGTTGATTCAGGAATACCAAAAGACCTCCCAACTTCTCGTATTTTCCTCCCATCGTTTCTAATTGCATTCAGTGCAGTCTCCAGCAATTCATCACTATATTGATGGATTTCAGTCTTTCGAACGTAATTTCGTGGCATCTGAAAATAAAAGACGGATTTTAGTACCCAAAAACGATAACAATATTGCTTCATATTTAATTGATTAGTGGGTAACCGTGCGCATTTTCGCGCACGGTTACCCCACTATGGTTTAAAAACGTAATTACATCATCCTACAAAAATTACTTATCTAAATGCAACCAAATGGTGTGCATATATGCAGCAGATGATATTCTTTAAGAATATAATTATTTCAAAACAAGTAGTTAAGATTTACGGACTCACCGTCTTAATTTGTGCAAGTGGAAAATAGTAACAAAAACCTCAAATGCACACTTTCGCCTTTCACTAAGTACACAACTCAACTGCAGTGGCAGTTAATGGCTTCAGAGACTCTGTGCATGTTCCCGCTTAAGCCTGTTCGGGAGGGGACTCTCAGTATGCCGCGTAATTTGAATTTTAATGGTGCGCACCGTTCCCCACCGCGCACGGTTCCCCCACTTTCCCCTATATATTTATTGCATTCTTTAGCTGTGTTACTGATAATCTGCTGAATTTTGTCCCAGTCCTTGTCTATGTGCCCTTCTAGGTGTATTTCATTTAATTTTCTATCGATACCTTTTCTATACATTTCTTGTTCTTCTTGCGTTACAAGCCGCACTGGTTTATTTGTGTTCTTATTTTTTCTTTTGCGATTTTTTTCTTCCGGTATCAGTTGAGCCATTTTAATTCCTAACATGAAGTGATCCGAGTCAGCGTCTGGTCCTCTGTATGTTCGCACGTTCTTTATACATTTTCGGTCTTCTCTCTCTATTAGTACATGGTCAATTTGATTTAATGTTTTTCCATCTGGGGATCGCCATGTTGCTTTGTAGATGCTTTTTCTCTCGAAATATGTACTCATTATTAGCGTATTTTTTTCTTTGGCAAAATCTATCAAAAACTGCCCGTTCTCATTAGTTTCTTCGTGTTTGCTAAATTTTCCTATAGTTGTTCTATATATTTCTTCTTTTCCTATCTTTGCATTTGCGTCCCCCAGTACTACTTTAATGTCATATCTTGGAATACTTTCAAATACCCTATTAACTTCACAGTAGAAATCCTCTTTTACTTCAATATCTTTTTCTTCTGACGGTGAGTGAATGTTAATGAATGTGATTTTTTGATATTTTCCTCTTATTCTTAGACAACATAGACGATCAGATATTGGTTTAAACTCTACAATTGATGCTTTTAACGCTTTATTTACCAAAAATCCTGTGCCTAATATTCTGTTTCTGCCTCCACTATTAAAAAATAAGCTATTTTCAATTTCCAGCATTTCCTGACCCAGTTTCTTTGTTTCTTGTAGTGCCACTACGTCAAATTTAAACTTTTCAATTTCTTTAGTTAAGTGTTTCAGTTTTCCTTCCTCAAAAGTACCCCTTACGTTCCACGTTCCTACCATTAAGTGATCTTTTGGATATGTGTTTCTATTGTCTTTTTTTGTATTTTTTATCTTTAAATCACCCTTTCCTATGACAATGTTACCGGTATTCATGTCCTTGTTCCTTGCGTTGTTCGTCTTCGTATTTTTACTATCATAGCCGTTTTCTAGTTTTTTGAGTTTGTTATTTCCATTTTATCTTCCTTGCTATTCCACTTCCATTCAACACCATTTATCATCATTTTCCTTGCTCCTATTTTGACTTCGTTTCCTTTGTTTCTTTCCTCTTGTGCAATTTTTCTTATTATTTTTTGAATTTCTCTCTCTCTCACCGTTGTGTCATCGTTGATGTATACCTTTTCCTTTTTGACGTCCTTTAACTTTTATCTTTTCTTGTTGGTTCTCCATTTCAATTAGGCACGTTTTTGGACCTAGTTTGTGGGCCGTCTTTATTTTGGCCTCTACTGCAAGGTGATCTTTTATAAAATTGCCAATTGCTTTCTTCAATACCAGCTGATCCTGCGTATCAATTGCTAGCCCGTTCATTACCACATTATTTCGCCTTCTCTGTTTTTCTATAATTTCTATGTTGTCTCGTATTTCCCTTAATTCTTTCTTAATCTGTATGTTTTCCTCTTTTAGAATTTTATTATCATTCTTTAGTTCCTTGTTTTCCCTTATTAGATGTTCAACTACCTCCTTGTATTCCTTTTGGTCTTCTTTTATTTGTCTAATGTCGCTGGTTAGGTTACTCATCATTTCTAGCAATTTATCAAGTTTTGCTCCATCCTCTTTTCCTCCTGTCTTCTGAGGGGTTCTTGTTAGTTTTTTATTTTTTCTGGATCTCTCTTCCTCTTGCTCATCATCCTCTCCTCTATTCTTTCTTTTTGCTCCTTCATCTGTTGTTGTATCGTCACTGTCCATATACGTTTTACCTTGTAGATATTTTTCCATCCTTGTATGCTTTTCCTTTTTTTTTTTTCACTTCGCGGATTACTTTCAACTCTGATTGGCGCCAGACACTATCTCTCGCTTCAACAGCTCGGAAGAAACAGTATCTACCACTTCCTGTTGAATCCCCTATTCGAAGTGTCGACTAATTTTGTATTCCGTGGCAAACACGAAACTTTGCACACATTGGCAACGTCGCAATTCAATTAAACGTAGCTTCCTTCCCAGTGTTAGTTCTTATCAGTTAACCTCGCTTTTTTCCCTTATCCGATTATTCACTTTGTTATTGTTTTTTTGCAGTTTTCGGTGTTTATTTTTGCACAGTTGTTACCTTATTCAGTTATCTCAATTCTCACTACAACGTATTGAATTATTTCCCGTTGCAACTCTCGAATTTCGGGTTTATCGCAGACAGAAAATAAAACAAAAATCTTCAACTCCGCGCCACGTTGCCGTATCCAAATAATTACTTATGCTCTGCATAATAGTTGGGATACTTTATCCCAGGGAACAAGTAGCCTCCTCACAAGGATCAAGTATCCCTCATGGACAGGGGTTCTTAAACCGCACTAGTGTTTTACAAGAACTGGTACCTTATTTGTTCTACAGGAAAGACATTCTAGGTGAACACCGAGTGGAAGGAGATAACCACATTATGAACATGTTTAATGAAATTAATAAAATAACTATTATGGTCTGAAATATTAAACACTAAACAACATGGAGCAACCATCCCACCCCTACCCTAAAAATATTACGTAGTTATTCGACATTTTCCCACCTTGAAAAATTTGACATAATTTCTCAAAAATGCAGAGAGTCACGAAAAACTACAAGTCAGGAAAATAACACTTGAATTTTAAAGAATTTTTTTAAGTCGGGTGCTCTTAACTTAAGATACATAATTTAATTCATAATATTAACTATATACCCTTTTTGACATCTAGATAATCAACGTCCAGATAAATCGAATTTGGAAGAATGCTACCAAAGATTAGGCGTCGGAGCTGGTACTGATGCAGCTAAGGAAAAAGAAACCAGGGACGAGATTCGTCGACAATACGAAGAATCCATAATTCACAAATCTTCAGTGTTGCCTTACGGCATTAAACCGCTGAAGAAAGATTGCCGTTACCCGGTGGTTATTGGTGATGTCCATAAAGGTACTTGCAAGGATGTTGAACAAGCTGGTATGTAATATTATTTTTTTAAAGAGCATTAATTATTTAAGAACCTTCAATTTACTTTGCGTCATATGGTATTCTTTCTTTACAATGAGGAATTTGAAGGCTCTTGATCACTTCGAAATCAGAAATCTTTCTGATGGACCAATTTCTGACAATTATCATGATATTTTTTAGTTGGCACAAGACTATCTTGCTCATTATTTGAATCAATTCCTCTTTCTATTATTTTTTCTACGACGATTTTAAAGAATGACATAAATTCGTTTACACTTTCGTCTATACTGGTACATTCTATTCTGCTATTTATGTATCCCGTTGTACTCGCAAAATGTTTTAGTTATTATGAGATTGTGCATCGGGAAATAATCTAACATTTTTATTTTTTGTTTTTGCACCATGGAATTATAAAACTGTTGTATATATGTCTCATCATATCTTATGCTTACCTATTTGTGTGTGCTGCCTAGTTCAAAAACACATAGTGGTGTTTATTTTCTGTTCATCTAGATGACGCTACAAAGCGAGGTACTCTTGATAAGTGCAAAATGAATAGTTGTTTCATTTAGCAGCTTTGACAGGGGCTGTATATATGATGTTTCAAAACCTCGTGGACCTCGTAAATACGCATGCCCGAAAAAATAAATGGATCCTAAAAACATGCACCATTTTAATTTCATAAGAAATTGGGCGACAGGGTAGGATTTGCACGTGCTAATAATGTCGAGTATTTCCAATAAACATGACATATTATATTTCTCTAATCTTAAACATTCCAGTTAGTCATCGCATTTTTATTTTAGCTATAAAGATTTACGACTTTCCGTCTTCACCGCCGATAAGAATTGCTGTGTAAACATGTAAAATATTTACATTGCACTAATTTGGCTTGTAAATAAACCTTTTAAGAATTGAAAAAAATCTAGAGAACAAATAAATAAATAACAAATGAATGTATGATAGAAAAATAATAGGATTTTGGTTTTAAATTCAGCAAAATATGTTTATATACGAGACGAAAACCACAAATTCCTTGGGAAAAATATTCGCATGAGATTTTTTGCATAATCAAAACTGCAGAATAATGTTCAAGATGTCGCCCATACAAAAAGTGGTCCTAATTTATTGAACAGTTTTGTATAAATTCATTTTTACATTGGGATAAGGGCCTCAAACAACTAAAAACAATGTTTTAAAATCAAAAAAGCCCAAACTAAAGTATCAGGAACTGATAGAACAAGGTTTGGTGAATTCAAAAATAATTGTGTTTTAGAGCCTCAAAAATCATGATTTTTCGTTTTTGTTTTCAGTTTTAAATTGTTTAAGTTGAAAACGATCAACTTTAGAGAAAAATTACAATTAACCTTTTTTATTCAGAATGATCCAAAATCTGTGTAATTAAATCGTCTGCGTATTTAAATTAAATGTACACTACCTTCAATAATGAATGTTCTATCTCTCTTCTTCTTTCTTCGGCGCGCTGGACTGAACTCTGGAATTTCGTTCTTGCACTTGGATGGAGGGTGATAAACTATTTACTTTTATGGGGTTATATGACACTCTCTAGATGGTACTGATATTATATACTCAATTTGACTGTGTAACCGGAATAGTCTCTAAGTATTTAAGAATATTAATGCGGCCTCTACATGGAGACGGAGTGTTAGGTTACGCACGATAAGACACAGACATACACGTTAATTAAAACTAAATAAGAAATGAAATAATTAATAAAATGTTAAAAGAACTAAAAAATATACATGGAGGGACGGAATACCGAGCTTGTCACCTTGATAAGTTTGTATTTATAGGTCATTGTTGTAGCCGTCGTCTTCGTCGCTTTCAGAGAGTTCTGTTTCAGATGATTCGCTATCATCATCTAAATTTATAATGATCTCATGCGCTTCATCCAGAATGTATTCTCGGCTGAAGTACTCTTCTTCTACTTTATCAACATGCCTGCAAGTATTTGCCCATATTTCTGGCGTGATTTCATTTAGCCTAATTTTTGCTAGTTCTAAAACATCTGCTAATTTAAAAGTCGTGTTTCTTGCTGCAACTTCATTTTTTAAAATGGCCCATATCTTTTCAATTGGGTTAAGTTCCGGATGATATGGTGGTAAACGTAAAACCGAGTGGCCGTGCTGTGCTAATAATTGGTCTACAGCATATACTGGGTTTTTAGGTTTAGCAATGAGTATCTTACTGTAGAGCTCCGGTTTTGTTTCGCTTTCATCGAAAAATATATTTCTTTCTGCCAACCATTTTTTCATGATGTCTTTTTTCGAAGCCGATGTAGGACATTTTTCAAGAGTCACATTATGATATGAGGCGTTGTCTATTACTAAGACTGAATTGGAAGGTAAATTGGGAAGAAGTTTGTCTTTCAACCACTTCATATAATTCTGGTGATTCATGTCATCATGATAATCACCAGTTTTTTGTCCGGATTTGAAAATGAGAGCGGCATTTTTGACAAATCCATTTTTACCACCACAATGTAAGATGATCAGTCGTTGCCCTTTAGATACCGGAGATGTTATGCACTTGTTTCGTCCATCATCCCAACCTTTTGGAACTGTGTGGGAACTATGTATATAAGTTTCGTCACTATATACAATATTTCTATCTAAAAAAAATGTGAATTACTTTAAAATTAGTTATAATGTAAATAAATAAATATCTTACTTTCAGATTTGTACTTTTTGAGTTTTCTTAGAAATTCTGTTCGTTTGGCTCTTATGTCAGTTTTTTCAATTAAAATTTTTCTATTGTCTTCCACTTTTCTCCACCTAAATCCTAATTTCTTCACAATTTTTCTGAAAGAAGATAGTTTACCAGTTACAATTCCTTCGTTTCTAACAGATTCGTAAACAGCTTTCATGGTAGGTCTTCTTTTGTGGATAGTAGCAAACGTGTAAATGGTATTTCTTATGACGTGTTCCTCAAATGGATTGACTGATGACTTGGGGCTGGGCTTGCAAATACTTGTTCTGGGTGATACAAATTGTGAAGTTGCTGGTTTGTTTTTACCTTCCTTAATTATCCTTTTTACCGTACTTTCTGAGGTACCAGTTGCTTGAGCCACTCGCTCTATTAGGGGTAAAGGAGTTGTGCAATATCCCAAATCTTTTTCCCGTTTCATAAATAAATAAACGTTAAAAATAATTTGCCTCCCTTGTCCATGGACCACTTTTCTATTGTTACTTTCCCTGTAAAACCGGTAGGTCTTAGATAATAGATAAAATGTTAAATATTAGTTAAGTTTAAGAAAAACATTAAAAAAAATGAATTGAAAAGAAAAGTACTTTAAAAGTGTGTAAAGCATTTAATTTCTAGCAAAGATCTTTGGCTTTATACATTCTAGGAACTAAATGCTTTACACACTTTTAAAGCACTTTTCATTTTAATTTATTAATTTATGACAAGCGTTTACAAAACATATCAATCTTTTGCAAAAAATATTAAAATAAACAATAAAGTTATCAGATTTTACACACTTTTAAAAGTGATTTTTTTTAATTCATTAATTTGTCATAAGTGTACAAAACATATAAATTATTTGCAAAAAAAAATATTAAAATAAACATAATTTAACTTACATTTTTAGGATCTCACTGTAAAATGTTAAAAACGACTTGAAACGCACTGAACATAAATAGTACCTCACTATAAAATATTAAAAACGATTGTTCACAAAAAAAATAAAAATATTACAGCTATTTCACTAACGCAAAAAACTAGTTCGTCTCTGTCTCGCTAAGATAACGCACCGAAGAGAACTGCATGTTTTTAGCAATGCCTGATTTCGTTGTTTCGTCCGTAGATCGACGTCACTAAATGATGACGTCAGGTCCACGACATTATGAATTATCTTTAACACTAAACATAATTATATTTTTAGGGGAATACACTTCTTATACACCAAAACATATCGACACACCGGAAGAAATCAGAGCGAAATACTACTCAGGCGTATTAAAAGCACAAAAAGACATTTGCGACGACCCGAAACCTACTGAATGCATTAGTCCACCACCCAGAGACATTAATAAAGCTTGCGATGAAGAAGAAAACCCCAAACCGAAGTATATCATGGTAACCAGACCTAATATTCCAGAACAACAGTGCAAAGGTAAGACTGTGACATTTGCTGAAGAAACGGATGATAGATGTGCTAGAGACAGGTATGATTTATGCGATTTGAAGGCAGAAAAAACTCATTGTGGATGCACCGATTACCAAAAGGATTGTATTCACTCGTTGCCACAAAAATAGCTATGATGTAGATGGATTGGACAATTTGACTGAGTATATTAAACATTATTGTGATTATTATTGTCTAAAAATATACAAATATTTTATACCAGAGTATTTTATTTATAGAACCATAGGCAATTCTTTGTACGGTCTCCACTTATTTTAGATTTCACTAATGACAAAAAACTAGATGGGTTCATGTTGATATTTCTCTCTACAGTGTTGTGATATTTTGTATATTATGTGAAAATGTATCAAATAAATAAAGTAACTATCTTTAAAAATATTTTTTTATAAATACAAACAGTAAAATTACATTTGTACAAATATTCAAACAATTAATGCACTTCATCACTATCCTTATCGTCTCGTTTCATTTCATTTTCAACTCTACTTGTATTTCTAACTCCTTTTTGAAAAATTTGAGTTCATATGTTGGGAAGACCTCTGTATATTATTCAACTTCGTTTTGAGCCTCGATTCCACATCTTTAAGATCACTCTGTCCTTTATATAATTCTCTATGAACAAAATTTTTGTCAAATGTCTCAATTTTACTTTCCTCTTTCTGATTGTCGTGCCTGTGCTTTTTCAAATTGTCACTTCTTTCTTTATCCCTGTGTACGGCATCCACCATCATTTGTCTTCTCAATTCCTCCTTTTCTTTGTCAGTCAACCTTTTATTTGGCTTGTTCTTGGCATCTGGCAATTTCGGAGCATCAATTTTTTTCGGAAGTAGCTTTTTATTGTCATTTGGAGGGTTCTTTAGAGGTATTTTCGTGCCATCTGACTTTACTAGTCCGAATGATTTCTTTTTGTACACATATTCATCATTATCGCTATCATAATGTGAATATGTTTGTTGGGTGTCTTCAAATTCTTCCTTATTATCAAATGCAGATTCTCTTAGCATTTGTAGCTTCTCCAATATCATTTTATCTAAATCATTATCTACTGATGCTTCCTTTGATGAGTTACTATTACTTTCAGGTTCTTCATTGGGTTTTTTGTTACTTCTTCCATTATTTCTCTTTTTTTCACTGCTTTTTTCTCTAGATACAGATCTTAGATCTTTCTTTTTCTCATATCTATATATTTTGCTATTACTTTCATCTTCACTTTCACTTCTTGATTTTCCTCTACTTTTTTCTTTGGCTGTGCTTCTATCTCTCGAAGAAGCCTTCCTATGATCCCTTTGTTTGTTGTTTTTATATCTTTTTCCACTCTCACTATCACTACTGGAGTCTCTTCTTCTTCTCTCTCGTTCTTTACTTCTATTTCTGGAAGCCAATTGATGTTTACTACTTTGTTTATTATAAATTTGCGTTTTTCTACTTCTTTCATGCCTATCTTCACTACTACTGCTTCTTCTTCTTTTTGTCCTCTCTCTACTTCTGTCCCTAGATCTTTTGTATCTATTATCTCTTTGTTTTTCATATCTAGATGCTTTATTTCTTCGTTCATGTTCACTATCACTACTAGAATCTTTTCTATCTCTACCTCTATCTTTGCTTCTGTCTCTAGACGTAGATTTTCGATGCCCTTTATATTTTTCATATGTTTTATTACTTCTACTTCTACTTTCACTCCTAGAGTTCCTTTTATATCTGCTTTGTTTATCTTTCACATCATCCTGCTTACCACGATATGTTTTTGCTTTCGATATTTTCTCTTGATCATCACTATCTTCCTCACTATTGGATGACTTATGCTTAGTTTTCTTTTTAGGTACTTCTTCATCACTACCACTACTTTTTCCCGCCAAAATATCATCCATGTCCTCTTGCGATAGTTTATCTTTTAATTGATTAAATTTGTGCATCAATATGGTGTCAAGATGTTTAGTTTTGGACTTTTTCTTCTTTTTCGGCAAATCACTGAAATTACCTTTAAGATGTTTCAACTTTTCGGCTATCTGCTTGTCTAAATCATCTTCAGAATCAGAATCGTTTCTCCTTTTCTTTTTCTTCTTCTTTTTCTTTTCCTCTTGTACTTTTAAGGCATCTTGAAGCTTCTTCAACTGTATAGGATTCTGGAGAAACTGGCGCCTAGCTTCTTCTTCTTGTTTTTTAATTGCCATGAGAGGATCTTCTTGAAGCTTAGCAGATAAATCAACCTAAAAAATTGGCTAATTTAATACTTTTACACAAGTAAATGCAATGGATCAAAAGAAACCAAATTTCAATTTCATTGAAAGCAACCACGAACTAAAAGTTTGTAAAGACTACAAATATCTGGAAGTAATATTTAATACAGTATATAACAGATTAATACAAAAAAGGTTGAAGTAATCGAAATTGATGTAATTAGAACATAATTATGACTATCTAGGATAGAATAAAAAAATGAATACATTAAAAATAAAATGGAAGTAGAAAGGACAATAATAAAAGATGCAGAAAAAAACAGTTGATATAATATGGACAAGTAAATCAAAGACATTCTTATAAAAAATTCAGTAAGGAAAATGAAAGGATAATATTTACTATATTTTCTTATATCAGGGTGAGTGTTTAGAGGCAAAATAAAACAAAGACAGAGTATTAATGAAATAAGAAGACACAAACAAACTGTATGTACTTCTGTTGTATGTCCTTACCTGTTCTTCATGGACAATTTTGTTGAAATCCCTTATAGATGGAGGGATGCACTCATGTTCAACATGATTTTTAGGAGGTACTACCCCAAGTTTCTTTTCTTTTTCTTCTCTGTTAATTTGTTCAAAAGATTTGTCTACTGATTTCCCTAGTAAATATTCTTCCTGGTCAATGTGGCTATTTGCACCCTAAAATAATTATGTAAAAAAAATGATATCATGGTTGTAAGTTGTAATTTACCTTATACATCCAGTCCAATTTGTCCGTATCGCCATTATTATTCATTTTTTAAATGCAAAATTTAAAACAATGAAACTAAAACGATTTATTTATATTTAGGCAGGATATGGTGACAGCAAAATGTCATGTCTGTGATCTGTCCAAGTCAACTGTCAATAGCTTGTAAAAAGAGTTGCATATACTGTAGTACTTTAGATTCCGAAATTAAAAATAAAATTGATAATGAGCTGGATTAGATCATGTTTTGAATTGAAATTTGGACTGTGCAACTGGGCTTGCCCTTCCAAGTTGACATCATCTATAAAAGCAACATTTTAAATGGGACCTTGTAGAAAGTATTACTGGAACTATTTGTTAATTATGTTTAAAAGTTTGAGTTTGCTTTTTTTATTTTAAACCTTGTTTTAGCGTAGTTTAATCAACTTTTTGCGCAATAAAATCAAGCAACTAATTATTGAAATTAATTAAAATTTAGAATTTTCTGGCATACTAATATTATATTGTATAGTAGTTCAGACTTCTTAATAGTGTTGTTATTAGCTACTCATCTGAATGACCAGATTTGTAACGCGTCATATAGTTTAGTTGATTTAGTCCTTAAACAACTGTCTATAAGGTTTGATGGTTTGATACCAGTGAAATTAGAATCTGAAATAAATCCACCGTTATTCATCAATAACTTGTATCTAAATCTGCTAGTAAACGTTTATCTGTCATGGATAAGAGTCATGGAAGAGTTAAAAAAGTCTTAGAGACATGATTTTTTATGGTTTTTCGTTGTGATAAAATGGTAAAAAATTATCCACCAACAAAGTACTTTCTCAGTTCTTGTCCATAACATCGAATAACTATTTGTTTTTAAAATTTTGCAATTACGGTGCAGCAAAAGTGAATTATTTTGTTATTTAATAACCAAAGCCTTAGTACAAGTTACTTTGCAAGTTACTATCTATAAGTATCAATTTATCAATAAGTGGTATTTATATTATCAATACCAAAACAGAATATTACCGTTATTTTTCTTGAAATCTAGGAGAATTCAACGATAACGGCAACGGCGCAAGAATTCCGAATGAATATTTATCAATTATTGTTATCGCTGATTTAATTATGGGTATTCAAATTGCTAATTGAGGAGGGAGACCTAATGATTCACCCGAATAGCCCGAAATTGCACAAGAAAACAAAACTTGAAATTTTTTTTACTGCATAAAACAAAATAAAGGAAAATATTGATTCAGGTCTGTAGCACATGGTGACGTAAACATCACGCCACTCTCCCTCCTAAAGAAGTTTGATTTTCATTGGCCATGAGACAGAGACATTCTGTCCAAAAATACGGACGGCATATTTTATTTTTATTCATCCACGCGAATTGAGGTAGTGACAATTTCTTGTATCTATTTGTATTAAAAGATTGTGTATTTCTTTTGGTTTTTGTATACCTATACAATACAGTTTTCGAGTGTTTACTGTTTAAGAAGGTGCCAATAACATTGGGTATGTAGCATTATCATTATCAGTAGATATTTTGTTTTAATTAGTAGATAAATAAACAAACTTTTAGAAGCGGTTTTCTAATAAAATTATGAATTGTTTTGAACATAATATTTATGCTGTGGACTTTATTATTTTAATGAGGGTGTAATAACCGAATTTGACACACGTATTGAGATAGGTTATGTTTGTCCGGTATTGTCAACTTCGCAAAGACCAGCGTGTCAGATGATTCATTCATTAACCGTTAGTTTTTTTGATATTAATATACCAAAACGAATAATTTCATTCATATAGACCACTATTCCAACATTTAAAAAGTGTATGTTTACAATAAGCCACATATTTAATTTGTTAGCAGGTGTTTTCAAGTACCTTTTGCCTTATATAGAATTCACAGATACTCCTTTATTTGCTTCACTTGTCTGGTTTTTCTTCTTTTAAATGAAACACATTGTTTTAAAATATGTTCAGATGAATTGTTTCATAAACTGGCAAAATTGCCTTACTTTTTTGATTGAATATAAAGGTTTATACAAACACCAACCTGTAGTGGCAGGGTCTTTTATTAGAAATTTGTAAATTTGTTTATTATTGTTGTTGGTACTTATAATTTAATAAGAAACACTTAAGTCCCGATTTCTTTTTTTTTTTCAAATAGAGAATGTTTATAATAAACAACACAAATCATAATTACTATTTTCTATTTAATTTATAAAATAACATGTTTTTAATTGATTATTCATTTTTTTTATGTAAAATGGTTGCTTATCTTATTGTATTGTTAAAATTATATGAGTAGGTAAAAGATAGGAATTTATTATCAAATATTAAACTTTATTTGGTATTTAGAGATATAAATTACTGTAAAATGGCCATAAGTGATTATTTCAAACCAAAAAACAATTTATGTAGGAAATATCAGGTAGTGCTCTAATAAAAATCTTTGTTTTTTCTAAGAAATCAATATTTTGCTATTTATTTAACAGCTTCCTCAGGAGTACACTGTAAAACAAATGACATAGAAATAGATTTAAAAACACAGAAATTAAAAAAATTCATAATAAAACTGATATTAAAGTATTGCATGTTAAGATTCAATTGTCTTAAGCAGGTTCCTTACAGTAATAAGATAAAACAAGTAAAATGACTCCAAATATAAAAAAGATAATAAGAAACTTTAGAAGAATGATATTTCTTTGATTAATTATTAAGTTCAGTTGTTATTAAGCTGAGTGTTGGCTATTTTGAATATTTATAAATTTTGTTCAATATACATATGTTACTTAACACCTTTACTGCGTAACGGAAAATCTGTACTTTGTCCTTCTATGCGTTACATATCGCCGGCGATATGTAACTACACTCAAGGTTTGTGCGTTACAAGTCCCCGGGGATAAGTAAGTAAAGTGACAAATCTGAGCAAAAGTATGTAATTTTATCAAACGATAATAATAAATTATGGAAGCAAAATAAATTAACTTTATTCTGCTTGCTTCGTAGCTCAATACATATCAAAATAAATGTGTACCACAAGAAAATAATAACAAACGAAATATGATTTTTTTTAATAACTATTCTAAGAAAAAATTACTCATGGTGTTTATTAAAACAAGATAAGCAAAATCCAGGCATATTTGGACAATTATTACAAAAACTTGTTACACTGCGAACTTTTTTGTCAGCTTCTCTGCTGTTTAAAGTTGTTCGTAGTGTTTGGTAACATCCTTTACATGGTTTCCTCTTTTTTCGACCTGGACCATCGGGTTTGACAAACGTATGAACCCTTTTTCTCATACCATCTACAGGGCGTTGTACTATTTCATCAGATACTGCAAGATTTTCAGCTAACTGTTTCCTGAATCACAAAATTTCAATCTTAGTTTGGGCAACCATATTGTAGATCTCTCATGCATTAACTAATGATGTACCCAAAATTAATTCAAACATGACTTTTCTACAATAAATTAGCAATGTAAAATGCTGAACAATTTGACAAACTATGTAACTTACCTATACCACTTCAGAGATTTTCTAACTGATGTATGGTAAGAAGACATTTGATCGCTAAAATCTACCCCCGTTTTAGCTTTGTTATAGTCTCTACCTATATTTTTAATAATCCAATTATTCTTTTTTGTTTTTACATAACATTGAAATATCTTGTAAAAGATGTCTAGTGGAAGTGATTACAACCCAGTTTCGGATGAATCTAGTGGAAGTGATTACAACCTAGTTTCGGATGAAGACAATTTGTATGACTCCGATGAACTACTGGAATGTTTGCAGACATATAATCAGCTTAAACCCTCAGCTACTCCCAGACGCAAAAGTAATAGCAGCCTAAAGACAGACGAATATCAATCCTCATCACACGGTAATAATAATCAAACAAATGATGTTGATTTATTAGAAGTCAGCAAGGATAATATTTCTCAACAGACGTCAGACTGCTTAGGAATTGTACCAGTGCTTTGCAATGATAGTACTAACTTAAATCAATACATTGAAGATATAATGAATGCTAAGTTTGTTTACATGGACAGAAATACTAGTTTAGAAAAAGAAGTCAATTCATCAGCTGATTCTGAGATAATGAATGTAAATTCTCTCTTCGCTGAAACCTCAGATGTTTACTCAAATATTATACAAACATCACCTAATACTAATAATATAGATAATGCAGAGAACAAAACTGAACAAAAGAAGTGAATATGTCTCTTCAACCAAAAAACGTTTAACAGATCGCAATAACTGAGAAAAAGGAAAAGAATATATCGGATTCCGTAGGTTAAACAAAAAGTCTACAAACAAAATTGTCCAAGATGTCAAGCGTGGAGCAAGTCAAATGGGAGTTCGTTGTAATCTTTAGGGTTGTGGAAGATATAAATTAACCAGGAAGTGTTACTCTATATCTGATGAGAAGAGAAAAGAACTTTTCGAATTACTTTGGTCTTGGTCTTGGGACAGTAAAAAATGTACGTTCGTACTTTAGTTGACAAGAAAAACCCGAAACGTATCAGGAAAGAACCAAACTGTAGAAGAAAGGAATCCCTTTTTTTATTTTATTAAAACTGACAACGAAAACATACCCTTTTGCAAGAATATGTTTCTGTCTACATTAGGATTAACTGAAGATGGAGTGCGTCATTGTGCTCAGTAAAGAGCATGAGAGTAGAAATAGTAACAGGGATGAGCCAGAGCCATTTGAAGACATCTCTAATGACGTTGAAAATAACTTGCAAATAAATGACGTAAGTAATTTGCAAGTAAGTGGGGCCGATTCTAGTCAATCACGGCGCGCTAGGCGTAATAGGCAGTTATATTTGGAAAACTTTTTATCCAAACTACCAAAACTTCCTTCACATTATTGCCGCAAAAATTCTAAAACGCAATATTTACAGACAGATATTAGGTCTAAAACTTATCTTCATGAGATTTATGTTAAGAGGCCTGTGTACCAGCCATAAAAATGAGTAAACGGGGCATAAAAATGAAGGAAAACGGCTTAACTGAAATAAATAAAATTTTGGGTTTTGCTTCAAAAAAAAAGGCTTTTTATCGCTATGTTTTTATATTTTTGAAAAACCAAAATTTTTTTTTGTTAATTTGAAAATGATACGTTTATTTAAAAAAATGCAACAGTGCGGCGTTTAATATGATTTTTCTTAATATATGAACTAATAATGTATTCAATAAAAATGAATGTAAGTCCTACATTCCATGCTTCAAAATTTTCAAAAAAGTAATGACCAAATCAGAAGACGCTCGAACTTTCCAGCGGATCTGACAACGTCGATGTGAGGGAGCCGCCATTAGCGGCACTGTCTGGCTAATGTTTTTGATGTTAGAAAAGAATATATTCCAGTTTGATTATAATTATCGTCTGGCGCGTGCCACCAAATTACGTTCGTCGATTACAGAGTTGGCTGTCGGGATTTTTAGTTTTTTCGTATATTGTGTTAGTTGTTGTGTTCTTTTTAATTATATTAATTAATAATTTTCTGTTGTTCATTGTGTGAGACTAAGTGTAAAAAGTAGTGTGAAAAACAGTTTTAATTATAGTTTGCTTTACAAACGAAGACCATGGGTCGCGTAAGAAGAGACGAGAGAAACAAAAAGAATAAACGATTATGTGTATCGACGGTTAGAAAAAGTGTACGAAAAAGATGCAAGGCGATAGCTAGGTAAGTTGTAATAACTTTATCATCTCGAACTTTATTGTTGATGTAATAAAACGTAGCAAGAACGTATTTGTTATTTATGGCACCTGTACACTAATTATAAAAAGTTAAATTAATTATAACAATAATGAAACATTATAATTAGCTATTTCTTGAAAGGCAACTTAAAATTGAATGAAATTTTTAGATTAAGAAAATCAGAAAAATTGGCTGATTCTTCTAATTGCCATAGTACTAACATAACAGAAGCATTGGATTCAGGGAATTCTCCTAGTACATCTGAAATGTAAGTATAAATAATAATGATAAGGGATAAATATGTAATTATAGTAGTTTTTTTAAATAACATATGTAATATACGATCGTATACGGAATTATAACGAAAGATTGCGACCGATTTTATTTGATAAATTATATAGGTTGTTCCACAATCATACGAATAGTATAGAACGTAGCAGGTGAATAATATTGATGAGTGTTAAAAAATACTACCGAAGATAACATAAAAAATTATTATTTCTTGAAGAACAAGAAACTCCAACACATAGATGCTTTAAAAATTGGACGGGCAGTTCAACAGCTATGGAAACAGATATCATAGCAGAGGGTTTCAGAAATAGCCTTAATTAATATGGTATAAAATATTCTAAAATGGTTGGTGATGGTGATTCCTCTGTATATAGGAAACTGTTAGAAATAAGACCATATGGAAATTGCTTGGTGCAGAAAATTGAATGCAAAAATCATATTTTAAGAAATTTTGCCAAAAAAATACGAGAAATCAGCAGTAAGTTTTAAAATATTGTGAAATTATTAATGAAACTAATATTGTTTTTGATTTTAGGCAAGAAAGAAGTGCGATCACGAAAGCAACAACCTACCGAATCGGAGAAAACACAAGTTTAGAAGAAAAAGTTCAGTTGCTCCGAAATGATATAAATAATGCGCCCAGTCATGTTTTTGGAGAGCACAACCTTTGTAAAACTATAATATATTTTAAATGCGAGGGTCAAGATACAAATATAATACCCGTTATGAAAGAATGTGGTATCTATGAAGACGTAATGAGTGCCCTTCAAAGAGTTATTGACAATGCAAGTAGTCTTATTATGAACATGGACAATAACTTGGCAGAGCACTATAACAGCGTTGTGTGTAAATTCATTGGGGGTAAAAGAATAAATTTTTCATTAAGAGGGTCATATCAGACGAGGTGCGAAGCGGCAGCACTATTGTTCAATGCGGGTGGTGAATACCATCGAATGATAAATAAAACAATGTTTGGCAATAGTCCAAAAGGCTTTTATAAAAAATTTTATTTAAAAAAGAAAAAGAGCACGCCAAAATTAAAGCTAGAAGAACTTTGTTTCCAAAAAAAAGAAATCGGCTAAACAAAACCTGCCAGATTAGGATTACGGCCCCAATGCCAACTATCTGCCCTTAAATCCAAATAGCGACGAGTATAAACAGAAGGCACAAGATTTTATAACATCTCTCGCAAAAACGCCCAGCGAAATAAAAAAAATTGAGAGAAATACGTTGGGGTAAAAGTCTAATCCTCAATGGATTCAAGAAAGATTGGTAAGGCTTACAGCTTCGAATTTTGGGCAAATTTGCAAAATGAGATCCACTACTTCGCCTATTAATACAATTAAAAATTTATTTACTTCGTCAATTGTGGCCTATCCGACATAGTAGAATGTCATAAATGTAAAATTTGGACATAACAATACAAAATACAATACACTAAGACAAACAAACACTTTAAAATGTATATGGAGAAGCTACATATTGTATAGAAGCCGGAGACAGAATGGGCTCCCGGTCCAAATGACAGCTTATGAAGGGCAGTTATGTGATCTGCACCTTTCAAAATTCTATGACACTAAGTATTGACAAAAGGTCCAACTGACACCACTATAGGAAATCGACTGATGAAATATAAAATTATATAGTATATTTTTTATGTAGATTGAATAATCCCAATCTCACACTCAAACCTGTCTATAATAATTAGGATATTGGTTTGAGAGCAATTGAAGTTGACATAAAGTATGAATGTGAGAAAAGACTAACAATATATTAGACAGTGGATGGTTGACTACAATAAAATGGTCCACCAAGCGCTATCAGTACTGTAAAAAAGAAAAATCTGAATATGCAGTTAAATTACTAAAAGTTAAAATCAAAATTGAAGACAAAATATATAAATGTGTTATAGTCCACGTAGTTCAGTTGAATCCACAGTCAATGAAGAACTTTAAAATTAATATTGAAATATTCAGTGCATAAAGTCTAAACAGTCGAGCTGGGTCCTCTACGAGGTGAAGCTGTAATAAAGTTTTTAAATATAGGATTAAATTTAGTACAATTTAAATTAATTTGAGTATTAAGACAGTGAGAGTTTTCATTTGTTTCCCTTGTAATCTCCAAATCTTCCAATAAATCCAACTCAAGATAGTTTTTCTTTCTGCTAATGTCATGTAAGATAGATGAACCAGAATTGATGTTAAAATTGTGGTTGCTGGATACTAAGTGTTGACCAAAACTTGAAGAATTTGGTCTTTTCAAATGTTCAGAGACTCTAGTGGATAACTTTCTGATGGTTCTACCTACATAAGATGCATCACAATTATCAAGTGTATTCATCCTATCTTTGGTATTGATTAAGAAGGAACCTAAAGTGTTATGTGATTTAAAGGAAATTTTGATGTTATCAATTGTAGAAGAAAAAAGTTTAGATATTTTATTGGAAATGCTACTAATATAAGTGAAGGAGAAATATCTGATGTTATCTGAAGCATTCGGTTGGGAAAACTGTGAAGAATATGCAAGCTTTTCTGCAATTTTTTTTTTTTTTATTTTTTTTTTTATTAGAAAAAGATGTCGCATCCACCAAAAGGTTATTAGCGACGGAACAAAATATAAATAACAAAGTTAGACACCTACAGATTGTACAAAATGTTTATGGATCTGAGATAATTCACTATATTTTCATAGGAACAGTTTTGACCTAGAGCCTGTGGTAGAGCGTTTGGGATCTTGTAGCGCTGTCTTTCTTGGTCATATTTACTACAAATTATTAAAAAGTGTTCGACTGTTAATCGGACGTTACACTGATCACATATAGGTGGATTATTCTTTGTGAAAAGGTAGGAGTGCGTTAATCTGGTATGTCCTAGACGTAAACGCGCAACCGCAATTTGTTCCCGTCTATTGCGCGACGATGGAAACCACTGAGACACATTATTTTTAATTTTATTTAGATTGGAATTAGTTTGAGACCACTCATTTCGCCACAAACACAACACTTTATTTTTAAAATAAGCTTTTAAGTCACTGGAAACACACTTGTCTATCGGCTCCGACAAATCACTTAAAATAGCCTCTCGTGCAATCCTGTCAGCTTCTTCATTTCCTGTTATTCCAACGTGTGAGGGAACCCATAAAAATTGGACGCTTCTTCCATGTTCATGAGCTTGGGAAAGCTGGTATTTTAGCAACTTTTCAAAAGGATGTTTCGGAAAAATGTGTTTTAATGAGTTTAGAGAGCTAAGGGAATCTGTTATGATAAGGGCTTTTGTGAGTGTAAGCTCGTTAAGAAGTTTCACAGCACGGTATATGGCGTAGAGTTCAGCTGAATATGTGCTGCATGCTGAGGGTAAACGGAAAAGAAGATTGTTTTCTGAAGAAACGATTGATGCCCCCACTCCGTCTTCGGATTTAGATGCATCTGTGTAGATTTTATGGTAGTCGGGGTACTACTAAAAATCTTGGGGATTCGACTAACTATCTTTTTTATAGTATTAAAAATTTTATTTTTTTAAAAACTCAAAGTTTAAATTTTCTTGCTTTACATTACAAATATCACATATATTTATTACCTAAAAAGAAAAATTAGACAGTCAATACAAGTTTTTATAAAAGCTCCTATCAAGAAAAAATATAAAAATTTTCCCTAAAAAATACAATTACATTTGGGTATGTATTACAATTTTTGCTTTTATTTTTCAAAGACATTTCACTTATCATACATTATTTTTGATGACAAAATAATGTAGATATTTGTAGGCGAAGAAACTCAAACTACTGGAGTTCAAAATAAACTAATAACACACAAAACAACCTTTATTATATTTTAGTATATTTTTAAGTAACAATTGTATGTGATATTTGTATTTTAATTTAAAAAAAAATTAAATTTTGTAATCGCGCATTACGCCGAAACGTACGAAGTCTTTAAAAAATAAAAATGTTAATACTACAAAAAAGAAAAAAAAATTCATTTAGCCTAGGATTTTTCAACAAAATTAAAATTTATTTATAAGAAATTTTCACCATTTTACTTTATATTATAATCCTATTCTCACTACACGGCGGTTTACTCAGTCCGTTTGCAACGAAAATAAAATAAACCCCGTCCTGCTGTGCGAGTCTTCGTATGTTGATCCCCACGTTGCCACATGCTACAATTGCGTTTCAAAGCGATGGCTCGGCGTAAATCTCAAATTCGACCACGCGGTCGACTACATACTCCTCTTAAACAATGCACAGAGGACAATGTTGCACATGTAAGCAGAGCTCAGTTTAGTAATACTCTACAAAACATGAATATTGCCATTTATATTCCACGAAAAGACATGTGTGACAAGTGCTATGCTTATAATTGTAAGATTATCACAGAAGAAGAGTATTTGAAGCACAGAGCTCGAAAATAAAAAGCTCAAAATAAGAAAACTGAAGACACAAAGAAGGACCATGAATGGAGAATATCACACAATTTGCTGTGACCTGCGACACAGCGCAGGTACAAGTTATAATTAACTGTCCACAATTATACAGTATATAACTTGACAACCTCGATGTTATGGCGTATTGGTTTGACGAAACCAACAGTAACCTTAGTGTTTCAACCTTTGCTTCTTTTTTAGTGGATTATACGTCACAATTTTTAAAAATCTCTCTTAAACCAGTAGTGATATACTCGGACGGGTGTAACTATCAAAATAGAAACTCAGTTCTTTCAAATGCGATCTTGCATTTGAGCATGAATTCAGGAGTGACCATCATTCATAAATATTTAGAAGTTGGCCACACATACACAGAAGGCGACTCGGTAAATAGCCATATCGAGGCTACTTTTGAAGACTTAGATGTTCTTCTACCTAGTCAATTTGTGGCATTATTAGAAGTAGCTCGAAAGAAAACTCAGCAAGTTGATCCTTACAGAGCTCAACAGGTGGATTTCGAATTCTTCAAGGATTTCAATGCATCAATAATATATCCTTCCATCCGACCGGGAAAGAAACCTGGAGATCCTACTGTTACGGATTTAAGAATTCTCCAATACAGGCCGGAAGGAAAAATTTATTACAAACTAAAATACACGGATGAATTTGCTTCATTGTCCGTACGACCCCAAAAGCAAGATCCTGCTATTTTTCCCCAAGCTCTTCAAAAAGCCTCTGAATATAACTTTGGACAAATGGAGAAATCTTCAATCACTAAAGCCCATGATGAGTAAAGATGTTCATAGCTTCTACGATTCACTCTCACACGATAATATCAGTCAAAGGGATACAAAAAGAAAAAAGAATTGTCAATACTCTTGGCAGACAACAAACCTTGTCCAGGTTTTCTAATATCACAAGTTTTTAAAAAATTTTCCCCTAAAAATGAAATTTTATCTGGTAAGTAAGATTTTATTGGAATTATTAAGGGATAATGAGTTATTTCGCTCTCCTGAAAAACTTAGAAAATGACGTTAAGGCATGTTGCTTTGACAATGACGATATATTGTTTATAAGTAAAAAATTACCTTAAATCTTTTACATATTTTGTTTATTACCTATTTTTATCGCCAAATTTATCAAAAGCTGTTGTTAGATACCTGTATCAAAGAGTGTCAGAAAAGTATTTTTTATTTGCTAATTACCTCTGGTCTATCATTCTGCCATTCTAGCAGGGATGAAAATATAAATATAAGAACACCAGGGAACTCTAGTGACTGAACAAAACAGTAATAACAAAGAGATAAAACAGCGAAAGAAAAGTGCAGAAAGAACAGAACAATAATATCAAATATAAAACAACAAAGTTGTTGAAACAGAAAATTGAAGAGTTATAAGAAAGACACGGTTATCTGTATTTAAAAAAAATCGTTCCGTATTTTGGGAATTCCATTCAAAACTCATGCACGTGCTCGATAAAACGATTTGTTCATAGCTACAATGACGCATCTCGGTGACTGAATCGACCCACACCGCACCGTATGTCATAATTTAGTCCTCATTAAGGTCTAAACTGTAACGCCACAACCTTTGGACTTCGAACCGTCAGAACGAGTAAATATAATAATTTTAAATGAGAAATTTCCTCTTGTGCCGTCTCTAAAACGGCTTTAAAGTGTATCAATTGCCGGCATAGGGGGATGATCGGGGTCCAAGTCCATCCAGATTATGTTGTCGTATAATCTTATGTTAAAAACTAAGCCACGGCCATAAGTGTTTGAGGTCACCGAAGACGGTGATTATACGAGTAGATTACAAGACAATAAGTGTTTTTTTTAGATATCTTTTGCTTTTTACCATACAATTTAATTTAAATATGTAAGAGCAACATATTGTTATTAATTTTTATATTTACATAAAAATAATGTGCTCAAAATTAACTAGTATACAGGATGGCCTCTTTTTAATCGTCTATACGGTTTCTGTGTTATAACTTTTTCACATTAGAGCTGGTTTGCTTAACTGATTTAAGGCCGAAACTTTTCTCTTTCTTGTATTAATGGGATATTTAATTTTTAGGCTTAGCGACAATCCAAATTGATTGTCGCTCAGATTTCTTTCGCATTTGTGAGCTGTGAGCATCTATTTGCTTTATTTTTCTTGTTTATAGGTATAAATGTCGATCTAAGCCAGTCTTCTGGGAAGATTCCAGTGGTATATATTTTGTTAAATAGTAGTGTTAGGACTGAAGATTTTCTTCATTGATTTTTTTTTTCGAACGAACAATGTTACAATATTTGTTATATACGATCATATAATCTGCAATCTTTTAAAAAGTCAATTAGAGCACTGTACACATTTGGCGAACTAAGTATCTGTTTCAGGTTACCGTTTATATTATGCGCTAGTCTATATAGTCTATAATAACTGCACTCAACGAGTAAGTGTTCTACTGTAAGGCGGTGAGAATCACAATGTTCACAAGCAGGTGGGTTTTCGGAAGTCATCAGGTATCCGTGAGTGAAGCGAGTGTGTCCTATTCGGAGTCTTCGAATGATGAGTTTGTCCCTCCTAGTCATTGTAGGTATCTTAAATGAGTATACAGTGGGATTGATTATGTGCAGTTTTGTGTTTTGTCCATTCCAATGATTTTGCCATGTTTTACGAGTGTTTTGTTTTATGGTTGCTGCTAGATCTTGATGAAGTTGAATTTTTTCTAGGCTTAGGTCAGAACAACTTGCTTTTCTTGCTGCGATATCTGCAGACTCATTTCCACTGATCCCCACATGAGATGGGGTCCAAAGAATGGTTATTGATGTTCCTCTGCTGTGGTTTTGATGACAGATGTGTTGAATTTTTTGGACTATCGGATTTAACGAGTATATGTTGGCAATGGACTGAATTGAAGAAAGAGAATCAGTGCATATAGCTAGAGATTTTGTATTAGGAGAAGTCATTTCAAGAGCTTTAAGGATACCATATAATTCTGCAGTGTGAATACTACAAGTGGTTGGTAGTCGGTGTAGAGCTAAGGTTATGTTTTCAGTACAGACAGCACAGCCAGTATTCTTTTCATCTTTAGATGCGTCGGTATAAAGAACTTGATTGTACTGTTTTGCATTTATTGCTTCTTGAAATAATTGTCTAAGGAGGTGGTTAGGAGTGTCTTCTTTTTTATGTCGAGTTAGACTAGTATTGAAAGCAGGTAGCTTATTGGTCCATGGAGGATTATTGGAAGTACTGATGGGGTAGTTATATTCAGGTCTATAGCTGCTAGCAAAGGATTTACTAATTGTGGAAGGGGGTAAACAGATCTGTCTCTATTTTCAGAAGCGTGGTGGATGTTAATGAGCTTAATTACTGGATTTTTGGGTTGGCTGAAACTCTACTGAACTAGGAAGAGAGTGAAAGTTGACGTCGTATGAAAAGAGGAGGTTCCAAAGATTCAATACACAAGCTTTCGGCGGGGCTAGATCGAAATGCACCTAGACATATATAGCATGCATCAATAATCTAATCTAGAGCGAATAAGAGTTCTATAGATTCTCAGTAACATATTTTCTTCAGCTCCCATTGATGATGTGCAAGTGTTTCAATATGTTTAGTTTACCAGCACAGTTGTCCTTTAAATTTTTTAAGTGTATTTTCCAGTTTAACTTCTGATCGAATATTAGCCCCAAGATTTTATGATTATTTACTGTAGGTAAAGGAACATCGTTTAGATATATTTCCGAGTTTTGAACGCTTTGCTTCTTGGTAAATCTTAGTAACTTAGATTTTGAGCTGGAAAGTTTGATGCCGTGTTGTGTGGACCAAGAATATACGTTGTTTACAGCATTTTGAATAAGATTTGATGTACTGGATATGCTTGCTCACTACAGTAAATAAGTAGATCATCAGCGTACAGTAGAGCTTTTACCGGTTGACGAACTTCTTTTGAGATGTCATTAATTGCTAAGTTAAACAGAGTTGGACTTAAAACAGAGCCTTGAGGTACACCATTGAGTTGTTCGAGAACATTTGACTCATTACCGTTTATTGCAACTTTAAATTTACGGTGATTTAAAAAGTTATCTATGAACGTGTAAATATTGCCTGTAATATTATTATCGATAAGTTTCTGTAATATTACATTCTTTGGAATAGTATCGAAGGCGCTTCCAATATCGAAGGCTGCCACAACTGTATCATGTTGCTTATTGAAATTCTCGGTTATATGGTTTTGTAGTAATACAAATTAGTCCATTGTGCTTCGATGTGGTCTGAATCCCGATTGAACAGAGCTAATTATATTGTGCTTTTCAGAAAACCAGTTAAGTCTATTATTGATTAGTTTTTCCATTAATTCTTCATTGATAAGTTTTATTATCTCTACATACACTTCATCTAATTTATATAACGATTCACGTCATCGGCGTCATAGCCTGTGACGTCACATGATACCAACACGAAATATTTATGCGGTAGGTGTGTTCTTTTTTAGAATCACTTTCCGAGTACACTGGCATTACAGCCACTAGACATATTTTATTATATACGCGTAGAAATAATATTTAAAAATTTCTATTAATGTTAACTTAAAGAAATACACAATAATATGTTTCATTTAATTTGTATAAATGCATTATAAAGCGTTTTTATCAAGAACATTTGTTCGGAACACACTGTAACTGTAATCGAACGAAGGTAAAATTTTGGCATAAATTGGTAACACTTACTTGACAGTTGCGGTGTTGACACTTTTTGTACTTTAATATTTTGAATTTTAAAGTGAATATCTCTTGTTTTATATTTTTACCTATTTAATAAAATCTGTGCTTTCTAGAACAAAATTAGTGTGTTTTATTTCAAAAATGTCACGTAAGAATTTAAATAGTCATTGTAAAGAGATGGTAATACTTTTGCAATAATTATGTGATCTATTTGATTTAAAATGGAGTCAAGATTTTTTTATAATTTGGCAACTATGTCAACTTCGATCTCTGACGTAGATCATGACGTAAGTCGTTATCTAAATTAGATGAAGTATATATCACATCTGGACGTGAGGTCTTTCGTGGCTTTGCCGTATTGATTGTTTTTGTAACTTCCGATGTTAATATATTAAGTGTTGTGTCTTGTACTATATTCACTTGTGGTTCACACGTTACACGAAGCGAACAGAGAAGCCATAGCTATGACAAAAACACGAACTGAGTCTTATAATGGTTGATTTTGATGCCAAGATTGGATCAGAATGTATCCTAAATACTACTGTAAAGTTTGTTGTAGGACAACCAACTGAAAGAGGAGAAAGCTTCGTAAAGCTCTGCCAAGAGTAAATGGATCATGAATACTTGATTTTGTTTGCCATAACATTGACTGTATACTTTGAAGTCTCTAAGTAATCGAGAAGTTAAATTAAATTGATCATAATCTACTTTAGGCTAAAGAAAGTATGAAAAAAGGTCTCTCAAATTGCTGGGTTTTAGCCATTAGACATTAAAAAATGTTTTGAAATAAGTGTGCCCCACGTTGAGCGCCAATTGTAGACGAGAACGCCAAGAGAACGTTGGATGGACTTGTTTAATAGCTCTCTCGGATGTAGGATAATTTTTTCTTAATATAAAATGCACAATGAGGAATCAGATTCCACAAATATAAAAGAAAAGTAACGTACCATATTTATTGAGATACAAAAAGTAGTAAACACTTTCCTAAGGTTTACAAAAGTTTAAAAAATACCAAAATCTCAATCAAAAACATAGTTACTCGAACGTAAACATAAGTGGAGACAGCTTCATTGAGAAGATGA